CAGGATTATAGGTTTGGTGGTAATAGGATTCTTGTATTCACCAATATTAAACCAAATATACTTCTTTGATGAAGGAAGTAAATAGTGTGGTTGAAGATTTCGTTAGTAATTAGTAAAAACTTCCATCACCAAAAAATGAAGAAATACATTTATATAGCTGCACAATGAAATGGTGTTCTGGCTAAAATTTTCTCATTCTCAGCACACGATATGACGCTGACTCCCTTAAGGAGTTTGAACATGTAAATATTAAAGCGTATTAATTAAAGAACACTGCCCTGGGGGACACTTTGTTTCAATTTCCAGGCTTTCGACATCTGAGCTCTAAAATCATAGAGGGACGATCTACCTATATGATAGTTTTCTATAAGATTATCGATCGAGTCGTTTCAGCGATATATAATCCAGCGCCTTTGCTAGGACAAAGCCAACCAGTACTTGGTATTCCGAAGTACAACTTTGGGTGAGATCATTAGAGATTTGGGTTGTAATCTCACAAAGTGCTATGCGGCGGTATGTGTTTTAGTACCAAAGGCTTCAAAACTATGGCTATTGAAGACAACAAAGAGATCGGTATGTACAATTTTTCTTTATCTGCCGATTTCCGCGACTTTAAGAAAGGGATTATTCTACCAGTCTTTCATATATTTGAGGTGATATAGGAATTGATGGCATTATTTTGGATGTGAGTCAGAACTGATCTACATTTGCTTGGTCTATTGGTATCTCAATACTTATTTAGCCCTTTCGGTTTAACATATACCGAACTAATTTCAGCGTTTTGAATTGTTTGAATGCATAGTTCATTTGGCAATTACACAAATCAAAGTGCTTAACTTGAGAAATAACTAAGGTATTATTAAATTAATTGAAGGGATTTATTTAACAAACATTTTCTTTACTGTTTATATTATTATGTTGAAGCTATTGGAGCCAGTGCACTTGAGCACTTTAACTCTTTATTAACTCGAGGTATCTTCAAAACCTCTCTTTACGCCTTGACTTGATTATTGTTTATCACTAAGTGATAATTGATCTCAGATCTGCATACCTCCCCGAGTAAGTCTGTAGTTTTTATATTAAAATTGTTAAAAAAAACTTAATAAATTTAATTAAAAAAAAAAACAAAAAACAAAGCAAAATCATTTCATTTCAAAATTGCTAAAATTTTGAGCAATAAACTCTTTAATTATAACCACTGTGCACACACAGCAGGACAGACGACAAACCTCAAACTATACTCCTGAGTAAACAAGGTCATAAACACATTATACAAAATATTGTAAATATAAATATTAATTTTTATAATTGATTCAAATTTATGTAAACACAAGCTTAAATATTTCAATTAAACAAAAAAATAATTTATTTACATATTTCATATTATGTTCTTTATAAGCTTTTGTTAAAGCTAAAATTTAATTAACTTTTCTGAGTGCTCGGCTCGTCAAAACATCTTTCCGATAAAGTATCTTACTCGCCCCTTTTTTGGTTTTTGTGGTTTTTTGTAAACCAAGTTCATTAGCTAGAAACCAACTTGATTAAAAAGACACTTGTTTTTTATTGAGTAGGTTTTTTCTCATCTTTTAAGTGAATGCGCCGCGCCAATTTTTATTTTTTCATTTTGGTATTTGTTTTGTAAATTTTGTGGTGCACTGAAGTAAAAAGGATTAACGCGTCCTTTGCTCGGCGCCACAACATTAAATACACAAAAAAATGAGATGATGTTGCTTTGATGAAACAATAAACAACAATAAGGATAACACAGCCAGTAAAAAGCATTAAAAAGCGTAAAAAGGCAACTGAAATCGCTTATGAATATGGCTTGAATTAAACAAACAAGCATTTTTTTTTTGGAGTAACAGTGACAGAAGTCGTAAATAAAAAAAACAATAATAATAATAATAAATAGAAATGATTAAAATGAAGAAACATAACAAAATAGTACATACTTTATAATTCAGATTTGTATATTAATTCTATATATATTGTTGTACATACGAAGAAATGTAGAAGAAGAAAACTTTTGATACAGGGTTTAAGAATTCACAACAGATCATCTTCTCAAATGGTCTTAATAAACCGACACCGGGTTTCAGCGTAACGTAAAAAGTCTCTTAAGCATTTCCACACCACTCTAGAACATTAAGTGTGGTTAGTGATTCCTTAACTTAATCAGCCAACTAGACTCACAGACTACTGCTACGTCTTCTTCTTCTTATTATCGCTTCAAACACCTTCTTCGCAACAACATTCATTTTCACGACATGACGAAGCCGCTAATTATATCAATGTCGTGATAAACTTCGTACAGCTCGTGGTTCATATACGGTAGTCATTGCCAATTTGTGGAGGAACTGAAATTTTACAAAAAACTGAAACTTTTCTTTCGAAAACTGCCAGTGCTGCTTTATCATACTCTGACAACATTCAAGCTTCTGCGTTAAATGGAAGCACAGATAGGGTGGACGAACTATAGAGCATTAGTTTTGTCTGCCGTAAGAGAGCTCTGTATCACTATGGACTCTTCTGAGCCCATAGCATCACCTATTGACAATGGTAATTCTTCTTTTAGGTTGAAATCATTGTTGTTTGTTACAATGACACCAAGAGAAATGAATTCCTTGAGAGATTCGAAAACATAGTCAACAGTCACCCGTTCGGTGGATAAGCGACACTCATTTTTATCAACACCCGACTATACTTCGTTTTGTCTTCATTTACCGCTAAAACCAGTTTCGTAGATTCCTTTTCGATAGCAACAAAGGCAACTGTAATATCACATAATCTAACGGCAGCGATGTCGTCGACGTAAGATATGAGCTGAACACAAGAATACTCTGTCATTAAGATAAAAACCGGCTTTGCAAGTGATCACTTCTATGATAAAATTAAAGAAATCATATGATAAGCAATCATCTTGTCTAAAACCTCGTATGGTATGAAAAGGAGTGACTCCTACTTTGAGGGAGCTATGGGTACTGCTTAACGTCATTCTTCAGTCTCGCAGACATTGCGGCGTAAATGCGATCCTTTATAGTGCTATCGAAAGCTGCTTTATACTCGACTAAAAGATGGTGTGTGTTGATGTTGTGTTCATAAACTTTTCCAAGATTTGCCACAACATAAATATCTGGTTCATGTTGGAGCAACCACACCGAAGGCCAATTTGACAAGGCTCAATCATTGAGTTGACATGTGATTTCAATCTTTGTATTGATTTCGTATTGATATACGAAATTGTATATTAATTATATATATATTATAGTATGTTAAATAGAAGAATAACAGAACAAAGTTTACGATAGAAGATTTTGGTATCCATGATAGATCACATACCTAATATGTTAATATTTAGAGGAAAAAAATTTGTTAACCCTATAGTTCCCAGCCTTTTTTTTGTTTGAAAAAAACGCTAGAGATAGTTTTAAAGTAAATAAGCAATATTTGTAAATAAAAATCATTAAATTCAGATTTCATGTCATATATTTGTATAATATATTTAAAATATGAGGGTATCCCATAATATTAAGTTACTTATTTTGTAATTGTTAACATTATGACAGCAGTTTAATTGTAGGGCACAATAAGGCATTCTTGGGAACTAGAAGGTTAATATCATATTTAGTGCATAATTTCAATAAATTATGTTGAAATTATTATTATTCATTTTAAAAACGTGATTATCATAAAAATCATAAAGATTTAATATAGCAATTTAGGCTCCATATTTAAATACTACATATTTATTCTCTTCCACAAAAACTTGTATAAATTATTATATACATATGGTATATGTATATAGGACACGATAAGGTTTTACTTAAACATTTTCGTTCAATGACAGTAATAAAATTGTACCCTCTGGTCATTTTTTTAGCTATAGCCTTTTAGACCTCTGACAAGATTAACCGCCAGTTGTAACCTCAAAGGAATTTTCACTACCTATCCGCATGCGGCACTGAATCCACTGTCTGCTTGCGAAACGAATAAATTATTCTGTTACAGTTAACGACCTTCATATGGTCTTTTCGCATGCACACACACACTCAGCGTATATGTGTGCTCTGTGTCACCATTTTTTTTAAACTTTATTTACATTTTTCTTACGACAAAAAACGAAAACACATAAACGCAATTATGTGCATTGCATAAAAAATGAAACCCAAAATTGATTTTTAATTGTTATTTCAAGCGATATAAATTTTATGTTGTTTTGTGTGTTTTTATTTTATTTAAGGATTACACACACCCTTCCTCTTCCTCTTCCATATTTCCGTATTGGTTTTTTCATATACTCTTTACTTATACACATACACACACACATAAACGCATGTATATTTTTTATGCAATATTTACAGCATTCAAACTCTTCTGTTGTTCATTTCCGTATGAGCGCACTTTATTTTACTCTATTTAGTACTTACATACGTACGAGTGGATTTCAATGCGCTGTGCAACACTGGCATACTGTAGGGGCACACACGTATCAGTACGTGCTGCAGGATTATTCAGGCTGAACGAAGTGCGAAGGGTCGGAACAAGCCGCCTCACTTTTATGCAAATATCAACACATAATTTTAAAAGTCCACAAAATGGAGTAAGCTCATGTTTGATGTGTGCGTATTGCAAAATTCGTATGAACAAACCAACTCATACGTGTATTTGTATTTGTTTTTATTCAATACATTCTTATTTTGTTGCTTTTTTCCTTATAACAGATTACGAACTCTTGTGAATTTCATGTGTAACTGGCGTAACTACCGCGTAAACCTCAAATTCGTGGTTTAACACATAAATTGGTTGGTTATGTTATAATTTTTATTTAAATACGGCAACACTCAACGATTAATGTATTTTCGAAAAAAACATTATTAACCTCAAGAGAGAGGGTG